AACATGTACAAGTAAAATGAATAACAGTGTAAGACAGAGGAGAGTGAAATAGAAGTATATAAAGTTCTTACACTGCAGGTGAGATGGTATAATATTGGTAAGTAAAAATGTGTATCATAAACTTAGAATGACTACTAAAATGAAGACAAAGAGATATGAAGAATACATTAACAATGTAAATAAAATGAATTCATCAAAATATAATGAAGATGTTATCAACAATGAGTAAATTCAGGCAGGTGAAGGGTTTATGGCTCCATAACTCTTGCAGCTTTTTTTGTAAGTCTGAAACTTTTTTCAAAATAAGAATTTAGTTAAAAATATTTAATGACAAAATGGCCCTTAAGCAATCTTAATTATTTAGCCAATCCCACAGTGTGCAAAACCCCAAAAAGGAAATATGAAGCTGGACAAAGGAAATAGAACATATGATCCCTTCAGGCTACAGCTCACATTCTAAAATGAGGCTCAAAAAAAATGGCCACTAATATATATTAGAAAAATACCAACCTATTTAAAGTCACTTTGTCTGGAGTCACAATCAGACCTCTAATTTACTAGTATATGACAATCAGTATGAAGAGAAATCAAAGCAAGTTCATTTCTTGGAGAACTTGATCCACTAAATTTTTAAAATAGGGCCACCAATCTATTGATTGTAATCAACTATTTCTAAATATCATTTATTCAAATGGATTACTGGGCAAGCCACATTTCCTCTCATCCTCATTAAAATCAAAGATTATACCATGCTGCAAATGATAATTTCACAACTTAACACATCATTACCCACAGTGACTACATACTACAGTAAAATATATTACTGAAAAAAAAGTCTGATTTAGATTTTTTTTAACAATGAAGTGTTTTGTTTTGTTTTAAATATATTTTTATTGATTTTTTACAGAGAGGAAGAGAGAGGGATAGAGAGTTAGAAACATCGATGAAAGAGAAACATCGATCAGCTGCCTCCTGCACACCCCCTACCGGGGATGTGCCCACAACCAAGGTACATGCCCTTGACCGAAATCAAACCTGGGACCTTTCGGTCCGCAGGCTGACGCTCTATCCACTGAGCCAAACCGGTTTTGGCCTGATTTAGATTCTATAGAACTCTCACACATGAGCAATTTAGATGTTTGCTCAAAGCTCTACATGTTTGTAAATCACTTTTAGTTCTTAAGAGGGAGAAAAAGCAATAAGGGAGAAAACCACAAAAGCACAAATAAGTGGAAAATTTAACAAAGATTTTGAAAAAGCAATCTTTCCCCCACCCATCCCCTTAATGTTTTAACTCCTACTGCATTAAAGAAATTACAAACTTTACAGAAAATGGTAAGAATTGAGTGAACAAATTAGAAACTCCGTGTTAACTTCCTTTGAGAATACCCACATTTCAGAGTTTATACAATTAAGGCTGTTGCCAGCCAAGTACTCTTCTCACACTTCATTTTTAAGAACATGACCCGACTTGGCAGAAATACTCCTATATCTCCCTAAAAAGAAAAGTCCCCAAAATATTATCTATAAAAATTACTTCTGGAAAAGACTAACTGTGCCTCCCACAGCTGAATTTTAACCATTTTAAAAATGGGTCAGTTGTTAAAGTAAATAAAAAATTTAAAACTTAAAAAAAAAAGATACTATAATACTTTGCTTCTCAACTCTACAGCTTTGATTAAAACTCGAATCCAAACTTTATTTCTGACCTGTAAAGCTAACGTTGGCACACATCCCCCCTTTAAGGTATTATTAATATTTTAAATTAGAACAGCTAAGATAGTTACGTTTAGTCATGTGCTTTCTTTTACTTTCATTTAGGATCCTGTTAGAAATTACAGTAACCTGTCTCACATTCATCCTATAACTCTTCACTGTCTTTGTCAACATCCTGGTTCACCTACTGCCATCTGAACTTCCGTACGGAGCTAAATGCCTTCCTAGTCTCATTTCAACTGACTACACCGCCACCAAACTGATCTTCCGAAGGCACACTCTGATCACACTGTCCCCCACATTCAAAAACCTCCCGTAACTTACAGCACTGTCTAAACTAAGAACACATTCCTCAGCCTGGCTTTCAAGGTCCTCCACAACCTGGCCTAACATTCCTTTGTAGTCCCCTTTCTTATAGTTCTCCACCAGTTAGTTATCCAAGCTCCAGCACATACCTCAGACTTCCCTGGGTCTGTACTCCTGTTTAGACCTTTCCCTCTATTTGGATGTACCTCCTCCATTTCCTGTTGAAATCCTGTCCGTCACTTCAAAGTTCATCTCTTCCATAAAGTGTCTCTGGTTTTCCTAATCCACATGCCTCCCTCTCTTCAATCTGATACCACTTTCTTTACAGCCCTCTGAGGGCACTTCACTCAGACTTGTCTAATAATCATTTATCTTCTTCTACAATTGAAACTCTAAGGCAGGGCCTGTATGGATTAAGTGTTTCTGGATAAAATACAAAACCAAATTCTTCTGAAATGAAAAAAAAAAAAAAAAGGCCTTATTATTAAAAGAGCAGAACAAATTCTCCAACAAAAACTTGTAAAAATATATCCTTAAGTCAACACCTTTACCAGAAGAGGAGCCATGCATTCAGACCAGTAAGGAGATGTGTAACTGGGAGTAGTAACTCTAAAAGTATATGTTACTTTTCGAACATAGCAAGCCATTCCTTTAACTCCACCAAATGAATAATAAAGTATGACTATATTACAACAGCGCCTCCTTTATCTGATATAACTAGGATATGAGGGGTTCATTAAAGTGAGTTTTCTGGAATTAGTGGCTTTCTACTGAAGAAATAGAGCTCAGACATGCCTACAGCCTGAGCCAGCTGAGATGTTCCTGGGAAACGGACCCTCTCCCACCCTCTCTCTCAGGCTCCTCCCCTCCCCCTTTCCTCCCCCCTGCTACCCCAGTCTAGCAAAAACACACAGGCAGGATGGGGAGGTCATTTTGTATAGATACTCGCATCTGATAAATAGGTAGGCGGCATAGAGAAAGGGCAAGGAGGGTATTAAAAGCTCTATAAAATGACAAAAGGACTGTGTGCATGGCAGAACCCTCATTCCAAGTTGTTGGTGTTATACATTGCATTTCCCTGAGAAACCTAGGGAAGTAGAGCAGCTGTTCTTCTGCCTTGGAATGAGCTATGTCATCACCTGCTACAAAATTCTGTCCTCTCTGCCACTGAAAATATGTCACACTCTAATTATTCTAATGTTCAAGTCCTAACCATGAGTGCTTCACGTGAACTTGTTTGGATGTGGTGTCATTGCAGATGTAACTAGATGAGGTCACACTGGAGTAGGGTAAAACCCTAATGACATAAGGAAGGCTGGTGTTCTCATAAAAACAGAAATCTGGCCCTGGACAGTTTTTGCTCAGTGGTCAGAACATCAGCCATCGGACCAAAGGGTCCCTGGTTCGATTCCTGGTCAAGGGTACATACCTGGGTTACAGGTTTGATCCCTGACCCCAGTCTGGGCGCATGCAGGAGGCAACTAATCGATGTGTCTCCCTCTGACATCGATGTTTCTTTCTCTTTCTCTCTCTTCCTTCCTTTCTCCCTCCTTCCCACTCTCTCTAAAAAAAAAAAAAAAAAACAAACTAAAAAAACAAACAAACAAAAAAAAAACAACAATGGAAAAAATATTCTCTGGCAAGGATTAATGAGGAAAAAAAGTTTAAAAATCTGGACCCAAGTAAACAGGAGAATGCCATGTGAAGATGAAGGCCGAGATCAGGGTGATGCTTCTACAGGCCAAGAAACTCCAAAGATTGGCAGCAGACCACCAGAAACTCGGTAACAGAACAGATTCTTCTTCACAGTCCTCAAAGGGAACCCACCCTGCTGGCACCTTGATCTCAGACTTTTAGCCTCCAGACTGTGAGACAATAAATTTCTGTTATTTCTGATGCCCAAACAAAATACCCAGTTTATGGTATTTTGTTTGGACATTCCTAGCAAACTAATTGGTGTCTACTGGTGTCTTTCCAGTTGTCATAGCACCAATCTACTGTGACAACCATACGCCTCTTTAAGAAACCAAACTTCTTAAGAATGATCAGTTACATTCAATCAACAAACACACATTGATGACTTCTATGTTCCGGGCACCAAGGACAAAGCAGTAAAACTGACATGTCACTTCCAAGTTCATCTCTACCATGAAGTGTCTCTGGTTTTCCTAACCCACGTGCCTCCCTCTCTTCAATCTGATACCACTTTCTTTACAGCCCTCTGAGGGCACTTCATTCAGACTTGTCTAATAGTCATTTATCTTCTCCTACTACAATTGAAACTCTAAGGCAGGGCCTGTATGGAGTAAGTGTCCCTGTCTTCATATAGGTTAGTGTAATTAGTATGACTGACAATACATCTAAATTATACAACAACAAATTTGCAATTGTGATAATAGCAATAAATGACACACTTTCAACAGAGACTAGCGGACATATTTAACCATGTCTGAGTGACTTGAGAGCACTGCTATGGAGGCCTATTGTTACAGTTCTGTGCCCTTTTATTATTTCACTCCGATCTAGATGTCAGGCTGTTAGATACCACAAAGTCTGCTTTTACCAGCCACCTCTTATATTCCTGCTCACCTTCTTTAATCCACTCATTTCTAATTTGAAGCTTCTAAATTGCTATAGGCTAGAAAAATCAGGTAACTAATAGTGCTAAGAAACATACTTTAAATATTAAAGCACTAAGGTGGAACACTATTCTTTATAAACTAGGTGTTACAGAGTAATTTTACTACTTTGGTATTAAATTGCCTGGCAAACACTTCTTTGCTTTAAAAGAGGACATAGTGTGGATATTATATAAACTGGTAAAGAAGGAAGAAATACTGCCCAAATTTGGAATTATAAAACTTATTACCCAGCATAGGGCACATTTTTATTATCTACTTGTGAATCAAATAACAGGAAGCATTACAACAGGAAGGTCCACCCAACTTTTTTTGCAATACTTCATAAATACCACCTACCTCTTATGCATATCCAACAATCATCTTTTGTGTTGTGTTTTTTAAGTTCTTCTTCAGTTACTTCAATTAACCTGCCTTTTAATCCTGTTAAGTCCTTTCCACTTTTGGTCAGTCTAATCCAATCCATAAGACTTCTGCCCTGTTTTAGAGGCACCTAAAAAAGGAAAAGGGAAGAATTATATGTGGCTTCTTCAAGTTAGTTGCTTTTTCTTCCCTCCTGCTGCTTGTCTTCAGGCTATTTCATTACTCTTATTCCCATTCAAGAGAATAAGAAAATGCAAATCTAACAATTTTACAAATATTCTTTACAGCTTTAGGAGACTGTCAAAATCATTTTCTTACAACTAGAATTATAGACAAAACATTATATAAAATTCCTGGGCTATGAGGCAGGGCTTAGAAATTCTGTCACACAAATGTTCATCATAATGGTAGCATGAACTGTATTAATCGTGGAGTCAGAAAACAGCTTTTGGTCCTGGCTCTGTCACTAATATGTTATAGTCACCAATTTGGACCAAAATTTCTTTGCCTTAAAAATCAAGAGAGATTTGATAGAAGAAAATATAAACAACTGGCTAAAATTGTTGTGCTTTTTTTTTTTTGTATTGTCAATATAGACAGAACATTGGAAATCACTAGGCAGCAATTAATTTTCCAAGAATTCACTGAAAAATAAAGGTTATCAAATAATGGAAAATAATAACACTGTAACACTTATAAGCAAGGGACTGGCAAATTAGCCCATGCCTGATTCCATATAGCCCTTGAGCTAAGGATAATTTTCACATGGGTGGTGGTGAAGAGACTGAATATTTATGTGGCCCTCAAAGTCTAACATATTTATTATCTGGCCCTTTGCAGAAAAGTTTGCCCAGAGGATTTATAATAGGATGTTTGGTTTCTTGTATGTGTGATTGTGTTTTTCCCAAAAATAAACGTTTAAAGCTTTTAGATGAGAGGCATTTATCCGATTAAGACGACCCAGTAGAAACTTTCCAGACATCGCTACGGAGTAGGACTGCTATCTACACTTGTATGACTAGTTTGTAACATGGGACCAGAGGGATGTTTAATGTAAAAGCAGGCACATTCAAGAAAGTTTATTGTTAGAGACTGAATGTTTGTGCCTCCCAACCCTCAGCCAAATCCTCATGTTGACATCTTAAACTCTGATGCGATGGTAATTAGGAAGTGAGGCTTTTGGTAGGTGAGTGGTAGTATCTTCATGAATGGGATCAAGGTCTTTATAAAAGAGGCCTGAAAGAGATGCTTCAGCCCTTTGAAGACAGGGGAAAAGTCAGCTATGAAAGAGGAACGAGGCCTTCATGAGACACAGAATTGGCCATTGGCTGGAGCATTGATCTTGAACTTCCCAGCCTGCAGAACCTGAGAAATAAATTTCTATTGTTTATCTGCCTCCTAGCCAATGGTATGATATTATAGCAGCCAGAACAGCTAAGACATGTATGTACCCCACTTTCCTGAGTCTTACCTATTTTAGGCATTTATTTACCCCCAAAATAACCAAGTTTACAGGTCTATGGTGCCTTTCCAATTCTACATTCCTTCCTATCAGCCTACATCATCTCATCTTACCATCACTGAATCTTTCTAGGTCTTCTGTTCCCAATAAACAAAGTAAAGTGTAAGATTATGATCTTTCCCATCCCAAACCAAATTCACTTGTCTCTCTTGTCTGTGTGGATTCCATACTCTACATGGTAGTAGTTAAAAGCAATCTTTTGAAAATGCCAATTTAATCATGGGCCCTCCCACCTCCTTTGGTGGCTCCCCAGATTACCTTATAAGGATGCCTCTAAATTTCCTATAGTGGTTACCTCCCTAGCTCCATGGTTTAACTTTTGCTCCTTCCCATTTATATGTTTTAGCTAAATGGTAAAATGGAAACAGACTCCTTGACTGCGATGGAACACTTGATCCATGCCTGGATCTCCACCACAGACATCATTTCCTCCAGAAGCCTTCTCTGACTCCAACTTATCATAACACACTATTGCAGTATTTATGGCATTTTATAACTGCCTGTTTACTAGTCCATGAAGCCTACTAGACTAAACTCCTTGAAAATAGAGACCTATCTGTAGAATAAGGTTGGTTCTCAGTAAATATTTATTTACTAGTGTTAGTAGAAATATAATAGCTATCAAATATTGAGTGCATACTTTAGCCAGGCACTGTGCTAAGGGTTGGACACAACAATCCTTGATATTTAAATAAAAGATGAGAGGTATGTAGTTACATTTAGTGAGTGCTTTCAGTATACTAAGACTGTGCTACGAGAAACATTATCTCATTTAATCCTATAAGCAACCCTATAAAATGGGTACTGTCATTCCATTTACACCTGAGTCAAAGAGGTTAAGTAGTAGAGCTGGGAAAAGAATGTGGGTTTTTCTCGTTCGAAAGTCTGTGCTTGCCCAGCTGGTGTTGCTCAGTGGTTGTGCACTGACCCATGAACCAGGAGGTCATGGTTTGATTCCCAGTTGGGGCAGATGCCTTGGTTTTGGGCTCGATCCCCAGTGGGAGGCATGCAGGAGGCAGCCAATCGATGATTCTCTCTCATCATTGATGTTTCTATCTCTCCCTCTCCCTTCCGCTCTGAAATCAATAAAAACATATTTTTCAAAGTCTGTGCTTTTTAACTATTATGATATGCAACCTCCCCAACTAGGTTCTATTTCTCAGTCTACCCTTTTCATACAATCCTGACTCAGCTTCTAGCATGTTCAAGAGTAGTAGCTTGTTTCACAAAACAAAGCGGGGGAGGTGTTGGGGGGGAGGGAGGAGTCTTAGCTTCCCTTTGAGTTGCCCAATAATCTTATTTTGTTCTCTTTTTGGACCCAAAGATTCACCTTTGCCATCACCACCTGTGAATCTTTTGTCTTTGCCTCTAAATTGTCTCCTTTAAATGGATACTGAGAAAATGACTAGCAGTTTAAATGGAGAAGGGCAGAAATTTATAACCTAATTCATAAATTCTTTCTCTTGGAAAACAGACAAGAGAATACGGTTGGGGCCAGGTGGATCACTGCCTGGATGAGGAAACAGTGGCACAGCCTGTAAGCCGGAGTTTTATTCTATAGTCAGAGCACACAAAGCAAAACAAGGGGAGGGGTCAACATGTTTACAACGTTCTTGCCAGTTTCTTACAGAAGCCTTGTTTTGGCAGCACCTGCGGCACCTCCCACAGCCTATCTATGAACAAGGAAGGACTAAGGTCAAGCTTAATTTGTGCTAGGAGGGCTCTGCCTTCCAAGCTGGGACTTGTATGTGGCCCTGCCACAGGTCAGTCCGAGGCTTGACCCTAGAGCCCCTCCCTACACCTTAAGAAGAGGAAACAGGTCAAATATCAAGAAACAGGGGGCAAATAATTAAATGGCTGGATGAATGTGGAGCAATAAATAAAAAACCACAGCCACAGAGTCACATCACATCAAGCCTGTAAGATCTAAGGCAACATTCTTCACCAGATTCCTTTTCTGTGAAATGGAGATTACAAATGCATGCACTTCATAGGATCATTGTAAAGATTAAAAGGGTTAGTACAAGTAAAGCAATGAAAACACTTAGAACATAGATGGCCATCAATAAGCATTGAATAAATCTCAGCTGTACTATTACTATAATTGTGTTTACAGATTTCTGAAAAGCTAATGAAAGCTACAGATCCCTGAATCCATAATTCAGATCTAGAGTCAAACTCCAGGTCTTAGTGGAGGAAAAAAAAAAAAAAAAAAGGGGAGGGAAGAAGGGAGGGAGACAGAGGCAGAGACAGAGACAGAGACAGAGACAGAGACAGACAGTGAAGTTCCCAAATGATGCTAAGACCCAAGAGCCCAGAAATGAAAAAGGAGTGATCCAAGCAGGTGGAAGTCTCAAAAACAAAACACGATGTGGTTACAGAATGAGGAACCAACAAGTAACAAGAGCAAGCAATTCATGCTGCAATGAGCAAAGGAGACAATTTTATTACGTCTTGCAAATCCAAAATGCATTTGTATTCCACCTGTTGTTAACAGTAACTATGTTCAACAAAAACTTAAAGAATATATTCACTACAAAGTCATCAAGTGTTATCAGTAGAAAAGGCAGTGGTTAAAACACACACACAAAACACACACACACACACACACACAAACAAAAACTGAAAGTATCAGGGGAAGAAAGAAAGGCAGTATGACTTCGATAAGTCTCCGTACACTGGAGGTTTGCAGACAGGTGGTCTCCCTTCTCCCATCTCCCCTAGCTCGGGGAGTCCCCGCCCACCCCTGCAGGGATAGTCACTGCTCACCGTCTCCACTGCCCAACCTTTCCCCTCCGCTGGACCCCGCAACACTGAGAACTCCCTCAGAAAGAGAACAAAAGGCCAGAGAGGAGGACAGGTTGAGGGAAGAAAGCTAATCCTCAGTCCCTTCGTCAGGAAGCACAGGGCCAGGCCTATCACTTACATGTGAATGTTGTTCTCGGGGAGACTTGGAAGAGGGGACTGACAGAATGGGATAAAGGCTGGGAAGGAGAGCTCCTAGGAGGTGAGAGGGAGGTTAGGAGAGTTGGAGGGCTGGAGGCAGCATGGGATCAGGAAGAGGAAAAGGAAAAGGAACTAGGAAAGAAAGGGCCGACTGTTAGAACTGGGGGGCGGGAGAAGGGAGGAAGCGGAGACCGGGCTGAGCGGTAACACAAAACGCCAGCCGGACCTTCCGCGGCCACTTACCTTGCTACGCCCCCCGGAGGCGACGCGCTGCTGCGAGCTGGGGGCGGGGAAGGCCTGGGACGGGATGTTCAGCATCCTGGACCCAGGCCCAGGCCCTGCCCGGGGTCCGCCGCTGGACAGGATCGCTCGGAGGGACCCCTTCGGGGTTACACCTCCCGCTCCCGCTCCTGGCCGGGCAGAGGCCAAGCCCCCGGCCCACTTCCGGGGTCGCCCGGGGTGAGGCGCGCCGTGACGCAGCACGTCGAGCCGCCGGGGGCGGGGCCAACGTGATGGACAGGGAAGTAGCTGGGGAGGGACCGGAGAGGGGGGACAGACTACGCATGCTCCGTTAGTTCTGCCTGAACTTCAGCACCTCAGGGACGTGACAGCTATTTTGTTTAAGATAAAGAGAGGGAAACTGTTCCTTAGCCTTGGTGCTGACCGAGTCTAAGACTAAATGCTTGCAGACACACCCACAAATGTCTGTCCACTGTGAAACAAGCTCTACTAGCATTATACAACTTAGAATTTTGATTTCTCTGAAACCCTCTCCTTTAAGGCACCAAGAAGGAGAAGCTTTAAAAGCCAAAGTGTCAAATGCAAACAGCCACACACTCCTGTGGGGTGAAGAGAAAACTTCTCCTTTAAGAACCCTCGCTAATGACTGACTTTATGAGTCAAAGGCATTAGTAAAGTCTTCTGCTCCATTCACCTGTTTATGAGTTTTTCCTCTTCATCTAACTTCCTGCCTTTCCTGAAAGATACAAGGAATTGTATACTGATGCAGCCCACCCCAATTGCAGTATGTAAGAGTCGGGTACCTCTGCATTAGAGCGGCCTTATGCAAGGTACTTTAGTCTATCAATCCCTCAGTTTCCCATCTGCATAATGAATTTATGTTTTAGTAAGGATTAAATAAGATGATGTAAACTGTATAAGACAGTGCCTGGTCAAAGGAAGGCCCTCATACATATCATTGGGTATACAAATTAATTTGTATTTTCTTGAATTCTGAATGCACGGCATCATGTAAATATGCACTCTTTGGTGGCACCCAGATTTTTTCATTCAGCATGATGATTTTGAGATACATCATATTATAGAGGGGGTATAAGGACACATATGTAATACATTAATCAATAAAGAAAAAAAATAAAATAAGGGACTCAATAAATGGCAGTGGTTCTTCAATCTATTCCAATATATTGATGAGAAGCACAAATACCAAATACGCAAACAACAGTCTTTAAATCTCAAGGTTTCAGATTGGAGACCTGGTGAGTATTTTCCTTGGGGAACACACACATCCTGAGGACAGAATGCAGTGAAGGGAGAAAGTTTTCAAAAGAAATATATTTCTAAATAACTCTCCACATCCTTATTCCATTAATAATTTTTCCTGAGTGTGAACTATGGTTTGAACTTGCCCTATTTCAATTGCCTTGTCTTTAAAGTGTCTGTAAATTAATGTCTGTTATTTTTTTCTTCAATTAGAAGGGAAAGTGAGGGGATATAAGTGGCCATTCAAGTAAGAGGCATTTCTTAGCTATATAACCAATCACAGACCTTTACCTCTGCCTATTATCATTCTGAAATATCACAGAAACATTCTTTATTTGCAATTGAAATGTATATTGTGAAAAAAATTGTATTTGAGCTAAAAGGAACTTCATTCATTTCTATAGTTTATTCTGTTACCTTTACCTTGCAAAATACTCTTTTTCTCTCACATTAAAATAATTGTATTCTTCTATAAATCTACTTTAAAACAATAATCACTGAGAATTTCTTATTTCTCTTCCCATAAGAAAATGATTTCAGGAGAATACCAGAGCAGAAAACTAGAGCAAAGGAAAATGATATTGTTGGAGAATGTTTCTTATCTGCCCAAATTCTCCCTTGGACAGAAAGTAGAAAAATACTATCAAACTCTGACCTTTCGGCTGTCCTTTTTAGACTCCATTTAAGTAATGCCCATTTAAACATTTTAATTCTGGAGATTCCTCAATGTACTGCCATAAGTATTAAACACCCATACTATTTTACTACTGGATTTAAGGACAGAAGAAGAATATTAAAGAGAGAATTGCTTGACTCATCATTCCTTTAAAATGCCTAAAATTTAATAGTCCTGACACTAATTACCATTCTCAATTACAGACAATGATTTAAAATGCTTTTCACCATCTGCTAGCAAATACATAACAATAATTGTAATTGGGACATAAGGTGATTTTCTTCATTATCAAATAATATTCATCTATAATATTAATGTAACTATAATATCCAATGGAAATCAATAGAAAATAGCAGATGTTACAAGATTTAGTTTGAAAATATTGTCATTCTATGCAAAAATATAACTAAATATTTACAAAATTATTACTGAAGATAAACTTCCTAGTTTGAGATCAAAATGATCTTTTGTAAGCTCCAAATGTTTACAGTACAATCAAGATATTTGCAAATTGCACCTACTTTTAAATTCCAGCATTGAATAACAGTGTAGGGATTTTTTAAAAAGGCCCAACTACTATAGTACTTACAAAATATTCATTTTATTAATAATTTACATACAAATAAATAAATTTAAAGAATTATGATACATTTGCACACTAAATTAAAATCCTACAAATGCTTATATCATCAAAAGCAACTAATCAGATTAATTTTCGCACATCAGCTCCTCAATTTCATCTTCACTATCAGAATCTTCATAAAATGAAATTGTGGCTTGAATTGGAAAATTTTTCAGGAGAGCTTCTGCTTCTTGATATAAGTAATCATAACACTTTGATTTTGGCCAAAATAGTCTGAAAAAAGCAGACAACATAATACACTTTATCTTTTTTATATTTAGAATCTTTATACTCATGAAATGTTCAAAGTCAAGAACTCCATGTATTTTTAACAATTAATTTATGCCCTTAGACACAGTCTTAAGACATAGGTTTAAAAGTGCTACTTTCACAGCTTTGATAGAGTTTACTTGCCAAAGTATGAATAACTGATTGATTATTTTAAATCTTTATCCAAGTTGTAAATTGAGTCAAACAAATTCACACTGAACCCTGTGTAAACCTAAGATCAATATTTAGCTTACTTCAGGCATTATAGATATATTTATTCTTTTTTCCTTTTTTTTAAAATATATTTTATTGATTTTTTTTACAGGAAAAAAGGGAAAGAGATAGAGAATTAGAAACATCAATGAGAGAGAAACATCAATCAGTTGCCTCCTGCACACTCCCCACTGGGGATGTGCCCGCAACCAAGGTACATGCCCTTGATCGGAATCGAACCCGGAACCCCTCAGTCTGCAGGCTGAAGCTCTATCCACTGAGCCAAACCGGTTTCGGCGATATATTTATTCTTTTAAAAAAACAACAACAGGCTTGTCTTCAAATTTCCAAATTTCTTAGGGGAGAAAAACGAATCCTACCATTACATTAAAAATTCTGACAAACACCTTAAAAAAAAACAAAACACACACACACACAATAAAATGTTATGCCCTTATAAAAATTACCTAGAATCTTGCTTAAAGCTCACACATTTAACTCTTACAGAAGTAGCCAATGTAAGTTCAGAAAAGTACAAAAAGCAATATTTTTAAAAGTTTGCTTATGCACTCACAACTTGAGGTATACCAAGCCTACCTCTGAGCCCAACCTTGATTCCATCCATCTCCCTTCCCTTTCCCCATCCAATTAAATTTGGGACACCATATTGAGAATGAGAATGACACTGGTTTCATACAAATAATTCGCATGTAAACATGTTTATCTCATAATTTCAAATTTTTGAAAAATATCAAACTTGCCATCTGATCTATTAGTTTTCATCCATGGAAAAGAAAAGAGCAGGGATAAGGCTGAATGTCCAACAACAATGTAGTCATTTCAGTGTAACTAGCCCATAAACTCATGTAATAGAGTGACTAACAAAGAGGTGGTACATTATGCTCAGTATACTCCATTTTAAAAGGCAAAAAAAAAAAAAAAAAAATAGGCAATGTAGTTTATTGCCTATAAACTACAGTTTTTAGCAATGTGGTACAAAATAGTTAATAACATTGATGTCAAATTAGTAACCATTAATGATGTAGTCATTCAATAGATATTTCAGTGCTTTCTTATGCTGGATATAACTCATAATTTAAAGAGGAATAAATCACAATTCTTACCCTCAAGAAGTTGACAATTGGGTAAAAAGAATTAGAAACACGCAATACTACTCAAGATAGAAAATTTTTAAAGTAAAATAAACCTAAGAGAAGTACAAACATAATTCTATAGTAGTTCAAAATAGGAAAGAATTGCTGATATATGAAACAAATTGATTTTTTAATGTGTTACTGGGTTTGCTCAACCCAAAGAAGCTTGTTTAATTGCTATCATATCCTCCCCAGAATGTCTCACTGGCCATTTTTCTTCCAGGCACCCCATACATTCCTGAATTCCCCCTTCTGAATAAATCTTCTCTGTCTCCTTTGTGGAGCTTCTTTCTTTATATACAGGTTAGGTGTTGGCTTTCCCCCATGGTTTATCACAAGTGATCATCTCCCTTCTTTGACTTCCCAGAATGACCTGACCCACTGCCATGATCTCTCCAACTGTTCATTTACCAAAACTCTCAAGTCTGCCTTTCCACTTAAGAACTTGATGATGAGTCCCTGAATTATATATGCAATTCCCTAATGGACATTGCCACTGGGATGCCCAGTAGGCACATTAAATACCATAAAAGGAAACTGGACCCATTATCTTGCTTCCCAAATCTGTTTTAGCCCTAATTTCAATTTCAATATATTAATACAGCATTCAACCTGGTCATCAGCCACAAACTTGAGAGCTATTCTGTCTTTTTACCTCTTCTTGATCTACCATAGCCATTATAAGCCTAAACCTACTGTCATCTAGCTATACCCTAAACTCACCCAGTCCCATTCCACCTCCAAAGCCTGAGAATGGCTCCTTATCATTCTTGTCTGAACAGCAGCAACGACTTCCAATTTCACATTGGTGTCCTAAGGCTACTAGTATATACCATTTTCTCTGTGATTTTTCTGAAATATAAGTCTGATCACACTGCTCTTCTGGTTAAAATCCTACAGGACCAGGACAAAACTCTGTACCAAGGTGCACAAGATCTGGCCACTGGCTTCCCAAATTCCAGCAACTTGATGCTCACAGAGGAGCCATGCTGTCCCATGGCCATGTTATCTCTCTCCCTATGCTGTTTCTTCTGGCCCTGCCTTCCCCACCTGCAGACATTTGGCTGACTTGAAGACCACAACCTATAATACACTTCCCTGACTCTTCCCCACTCCCTGAAGTGTAACACTGACCAAATTGAACTCTCTCACAACACTTCCTAGGGGCCCCTGATCATTCCCCCCCCCCACTAGTGCTAGCACATGGTAGGAAATGAAGCAACGTGTTATTTATAAACACATACATATCTTACAAACTACATATAGCTCATCACCTAACAGCTCTCTGAAGCAGGCAAACTGCAAAGATATCAATTCTGTCTCTAGTTGGCAAGTTGTCACTCAATGATAATTAGAAAATTATTTTGTGGGGGCAGAGTATGCATAGAATTTTAATGATATCTTGAAAGTTATGATACCAGAATAAAAGCTCCAGAGAATCCTACAGAAAGGCGGACCTCCTGTGATTAGAATAGGAAACTAGGTCCTCATTGTGATGCCCTACAACTTGTGATCCCTTTTATGACCCTTAGGGACCTTTAGAATGTTCATCACATTTCTATTTTCTCCTCCGGGTGGCAAGCTCACTTTGCTCCATTTGCTAGAAAACTGCAACTGTGAACATCTTTCTTCCTTCTGATTTGCAGGAGAATAAGAATATACTAGTGCACACTTTGCCTGGCGTGAAGTCAATTGCATTGGGACCCCTGGAACTTAAAAAACAAACAACGTTTGCAGGCACAGGATGTCAACGTTCAACTTTTACTGTATCATCATTCACTCTCCCTATTTGTACAAGATTCCTTAAGCTTTTACTGATTTAACAGATCTTCTAAGGGAGAGTGTGAGCGCCTACATTTTTCATTTCCATGAGTAAAAGACCCCTGGAATTGGGAAGACAAAGTAACCCTGAAGATATTATCTACAGGATTTTCCGACAGAAAAAAACAGGCAGGACCAGCTTCTGAGCTGGGCCTTGCAAAGTCTCTGGCTCTCTCCAGGGACTGGAGCAGCAGGAGACCTTAGGTTTGGCCTGTCACTCACCTGACTGGGTGCCTGTATCGAGAAAGCTTTCCAGAGGCTTCGGTCATCCAGGGCATCTGGGGACGTAAGGAGATGAATCAGAGTTATCACTCTCCTTTTTCTAGAATCTGGAAGGAAACCCGCGCGGCCAAGCGTCCCTCGCGCCCTCAAGGAATGTGACCTCGGGGCTCTCTGTGCAAGCCTCGCTTTTGGCCGGATCCCCGTGTCCCAATTGCTCTCATCAGCACCATCACAGCCACGGATAGGGCCGCCAGCGAGCGTGATCTTAAGCGAGGGGCTGGCCGGACGCGTGTCTCCCTCGGGCCGGCGTCCGCAGCCCCGGAGTGGCCCCTCCGGAGGCGCGGCCGGCCACGCGCGGCTCACTCACCACCTCCCCGGCGTGGTGCGGGGCGTCCTCCTCCTCCTGCTGCTTTCCTCGCGCGTCCACCCACGGCCTCCAGAAGCCTCCGGGTCTGCGGGGTGGGGAGCAAAGGCGCGCACAGGAGACGTGAGCCCAGATTCGGCAGAACCGATCGCAGCCGAGCGTGGACCGCGGGGAAAGGGGAGGCGGCGGGAGGGGAAAGAGGAGTGGAGGGCGGGGGTGGAGAGGCACGGGCTGGGCCGGAGGGATGCGGGAAAGGAAGTGCAGGGCGATCGGGGCGGTACCCAGAGTCCGCGCTCCCGGGCCGCGCGGGGCCGTCGGGGGCGGCGGGCTGCAGGCGGCAGCGGTGCGCGCGCTCCGCGGTCTCCATGGCGCAGAGGGCCCCGGCCAGCTCGTGGGAAAGCCTGCCCCTTCCTTCACCAGCCGGGCCCGGGCCCCGAGCAGCTTATATAGCCTCCCCAGGCCTGCCGCCCATGGAGGGGTTCGCTCCCTCCCCGCCCCTCTCGGCCCCCGATCGCCGCCGCAAAAACAAAAAGGCTGCGCGTGAAGGCGAACCGGGCTGGACCCGGTGTGAACGCGTGGTGCGGCTCCCAAACGGCCCGGGAAGGGGTTTGTCGAGCTAGTGTTAATCGCTCTTTCACACATGGCTCCGGAGGGAAAAACAACAGTCGCCCGAGCAGCCCATTTCCAAGTGAGAAGATTGGGAGGGGATAAAATTAAGTGACTCTACACGTTTTGTGTATTTCTGCAAATGGGCCAAGTGGCTGGTAATGAATGCTTGGCTCGCCCAAGCCTCCCGGCTTTTGGGCCTTTGGCAAATGGAACAAGTTCTGCACCCCGTGCTGGAAAAAATGGGAGGCGAATACATAGAAAGGAATGGCCTTAACTTCTCTTTCCGGCATGATACAAGATGGGTGAATGAGTGGGCCCCTTATACAAAAGAATATCTGTGTTCAGACATCTGCCTATTATTATTTGAAGAGAAATTCAGAAGAGATAAATGGTACAACCTTAAATGTTCTAACCAAGAGGGCCAGAAATGGGAGTCATAATACAATGTCGTGAATTTTCCCAACATACTATTTGTCTCCTGACGATAAGTCTTGAGTTTTACATATAGAATTCTGTCTCTAATTGGCAGTTTGTCACTCAGTGATAATTAGAAAATTGTTTTGTGGGGGCAGAGTATGCATAGAATGATAATGATATCTTGAAAGCTATGATATGGGGCAAGTTAGTCAACTTCTCTGTGACCTGTTTCTCTTGTTTAAATCACCCCTCACGTACTACAGAAGCCCCTCAAGTGTAATAAATAAGTGTCGTGTTTCAAAGGAAAGATGATATATAAATGCCATATTTTTCCAAAATGTTTTAAATATTAGAGCTGACTTCCGCTTAAAAGTTGAGGATAAGAAATAAACTTTGAATGTACATATAGTGTCTCTGCTATTCATTCAGTTACTCATAGGAAAAGAATCCATTGGGTTAATATCTAAGGCCTATTAGGAAAGTGAGATACAGTTTGCTTCATATAATGAAATCTGTAATGAGAGGTACTTAGTGTCTGTCTCAATGCCCTAGATTCTAGGGCCTAGAACAGTGATTTTCAACCCTTTTCATCTCATGGCACACATAAACTACAAAAATTTTATGGCACACTAATAATTTTTTTTTTTTTGCCAATCTAACAACAACAAAAAAATAGGTCTAATTTTGATTCATTCACACCAGATAGCTATTGTTGTATTGGCTGTAGTCATTTTTTTAAAAATGTGAAAATCTAAAGATAAAGAGGTCAGTGCCCCTGACTAAATAGACACTGACCTCTTTATCTTGCACTCTATTAACAAATAAAAAACAACATCAAATCATCTGACCTGAAAAAAAATAACTCAGAAGTGATCTAATAGATTTTAGAAAGCTTCATAACACATAGGTGGAGAAGGCACCCAGGTGACAACCAGAAACATAAGGTCTAGAGGTCAGCAGGGAGTTTAGGCTAAAGATTTAGATGGAATCATAATAGACGAGGTGGCAACTAAAACTCTAGAAATTGATTGGTTTTCCCAGATAAACTTTGTAGCTTGAAAACAGAACCAAGGACAGAGCTCTGGAGAGCAACATTTAATTGTAAACAGAGAGTATGAAAAATAAGTAAATAAAATAAATAAACAAAACAACTATGATCTCACTGAAAAGGGATGGTGAAGTTGGTAGAAGGTACATTTGTAGAGCAGGTGTGGTGGAAAACTGGAATGAAAGAATTTCAACAAGGAAGGAAAGGTCCAAGACATTAAGTGTCACCAAAGAGTCAACAAGATAAGGATATGTGTTAATTGAATTAGGCAATTAAGGAGTTTAAGTGACTTTAAAACAACGTATGGCTTGTATGCAAATAGAAGCTTTTTTTTTTTTTTTTTTGTAAGCTGAACTGTAGAGGTAAAGAAATAAAAACAAGGCATGCTACCTTTTGAAGGGGAAAAAAGAATCAGAAGGAAAATTCTGAGTCAATAGAGGGAATTTCTTTTTTAGGATGCAAGAAAGAATAAGATAATGAGAGGAGGCAGGAGATCAGAGCCTCTAGAGAGAAGGGACTGGATAATGGCTTATGGTCCCCTAGGAGGAAGGAAGAAATGAGGTTAGTAGCCCTGAGGAAGATTCTTATGTGTCAGAGAATGTGCATTAGTGATATACAATGATCTAGATATATAAAAGCCTAAGTGAACATCCAACCATCAGACTGACTCCCTGGTGGCACAATGACCACCAGAAGGCAGATACCCTCACCGGTAGCTATGATGCATACTGACCACCAGGGGGTAGAGGCTCAGAGCAGGAGCTGCCAAGCTGCGGTGACTTGGCAACTGTGGTTCTTAGGTGACCCACCCAGAACCAGAGAGGAGGGAGCCTGATTCCAGGGTGTGTCACCTGAGAATTGCCCTCTCACAATCTGGGACCGCTCAGGGGATGTCAGAAAGCCAGTTTTGGCCTGATCCCTGCAGGTCAGGCTGGGGGACTCCACTGCACAGATCCGTACACCAGGCCTCTAGTGTGTACATAAATGGTATATAAATGATGTAATCCATGTCTGGGAACCCTGGGTAAACAAGCTTAATCAAATATGGTATGGAAGAATGTTATAATGTGAGAAAACATCAATTGTCTTGAAATCGTGAAAAAAAAATAGTGCATTACTAAAAAGAAAAAGAAAGAATCAACTGATAAATATATGGCAAGATTGACCAAGCTTAGCTAGATTGGGAAATATAAATATGGATTAATAGAGCAAGAAAATCCCAAATTTTCTATTTATGCCACCTATTTACATACATGTTGAAACTGGCTTCCATCATGGACAGGCCAATATTACTTATTCATGCTACATTTTAAATTTGTTTCAGAATTCTATGTGGTCCCCCCCAGTGTATTTAAAGTTGAGATATAATTGCCGAAACCAGTTTGGCTCAGTGGATAGAGTGTCGGCTTGTGGACCAAAGGGTCTCAGGTTCGATTCAGGTCAAGGGCATGTACCTTGGTTGCGGACACATCCCCAGTGGGGGGTGTGCGAGAGGCAACTGATCGATATTTCTAACTCTCTGTCCCTCTCTCTTCCTCTCTGTAAAAAATTAATTAAAAATATTTTAAAAAATAAAAATAAAAATAAAATTGAGATATAATTGACATATAACATTATAATCATTTCATGTATAGTGATTTAATATTTGTATATTTTGTATATATTGCAAGATGATCATTACAGGAAGTCTAGTTAACATCCATCACCATGCCAATTATAAATTCTATTTCTTATGATGAGAAATTTTAAAACTTACTTTCTTAACAACTTCCAAACATGCATTAGAATATTACTAGCTATAGGCACCAGGCTATACATTACATCCCTGGGACTTCTTTTATAACTGAAAGTTTGTATCTTTTGACCACCTTCACCCATTCCACTCACCCCTACTCCCTGCCTCTCTCTGGCAATAACTAATCTATTCTCTATATCTGAGTTTGGTGCTTTGTTTTGCTTTATAGATTCCAAATATAAGTGAGATCTTTTTTATAGTGTCCTTGTTTGGTTTTGGTAACATGGTAACATGAGTTTGGAAGTATTATCTCCTCTTCTATTTTTGGAACATATTCATTCTCTAAATGTTCGGAAGAGTTCACTAGTGAAGCTATCTTGGTTCTGGACTTTAGTTTGTTGAGAGGTTTTATCTTCTTACTAGTCAATCTGTTCATATTTTCTGTTTCTTCATGATTCAGTGTACATACTTTTGTAAGAAAATTAATCATTTGTCTCTGAATGCCAACAGAGTTAAGGTTATTAACATTTTAACATTTTATTCCAAATATATTATTTTTATGCAGAAAAGTTATGAAAAAAATCTAATACAAAACCCTAAACTTAATATGCATAAGAGATCTTTTTGGGAGTGATAGAAATGTCTAACATTGGATTGGTGTGATGGGTACGCAACTCTATAACTTCCTAAACGCCATTACCCTGAGCAATTAAAATGGGTGCATTTTATGGTGGGAAAAGTACACCTCAAAATAAAAACTTCAAATATGACATTAAAGGATTTCTAACCACACTCAATCTGGGCTTGAAGAACTAAACACCACAATCAAATTCAAGCCCATTTTAAATATTTCTGAGGTGTAGGTTTTTAAGAACATGCAACTTTGGGAAAAAAGTGGTTGTTATAATGTCTATTAGAACTTTAGAATTGGTTTGAAGGCCTCTATTGCATTTACACTGGTCTCCAGGCAGTTCTTAGGTAGTTTTACTGCAGGGCAATCTCCCTGTCGCTCCATGTTGGATGTTCTGGTCAGAGCAGCTTCTTTAGAAAAGATTGTATTGGGGCTGCAATAAGGAGCTAGGCCTCCAACTATTGAGTGCAGGGACAAACCATCTGTCAGGCCTTTGTCAGTGAGGTCTCCGCTATGGTGGGTTTGCCAGAGCTCAGGAGCTCACCAGGAGGCCAGTGCAATAGGAGCTTTTGCATCCCCCTAACTCGGGATTGAATTAAAGAGCAAGCTAATATACTCAAGTTATTAGGAATCTTATTTGGCATCATGAAAAAGTTAACACATGAATGTATTCTAAAGTTATTAGTAAGCTAATATATATCCCCCCTCTCCCCATTAAAACTGGAAGGGAATTTCTGTGGTCAACATTTTATGCCAAAAAAAATCTCATTTGAGATCATTGATTTAATCGAAGTCTTTTTTTTTTTTTTTTTTTTTAATTTGAAGATCAGATTCTTAGCGAAAGGTGGCTTTCCAAGCTTCAGGCACTTGAGAATCTTCCCAGGTTTAGGTAAAGATAACAGTTGTGGTACAAACTGCTTAGAACAG